GTGTAAATTCACCTTTGATGTGATTTCTCTACTTGAGGTGAATTGAATTTAATATAATAAATACCATTTGAAAAAAAATTTAACAATAAATAGAAAAATTAATTTAATGTTTATTTAGCTTGATAATTCAGAGAAGATGTTGTTTCCTCCATTTTCAATCTTTTTGATAGCTTCATTTTAATTAAATATTAATACTTTAAAATAATTATAAAATAGTTACTTCTCATTAATCTAAATTTATTTATGGAATAATATTTTTGGTAAATTGGCAACTGTTTTTAGATGAATGAATAATATGATATGAGGATATATCATATAACAATATATATGAAATAAAAAAAGGCATAAATTTATTTATTTATTTAATATAATTAATGTACAAGTTGATTTATTTATTGTGTAGAAAGATTAGATATTGCTTTGTTAGATCATTCTTAATATAAAAAACTTCTACTTCTGCAATAAAAGATTAAAGTGAAATCATTAGCAATTTATCCATCTAATTATTTAAGAAAAAATTTGCAAGTCGTAAAAGAGACAAAATTTATATAAATTTAAATAAATAAAACTTCTATCTATGAATTAGAACTAATTTCAATTGTATTAAAATCAGCTTAAACCTATGGAATTCTGAATTTCTCGATCCAAAATTCAGGTTATGATTAATTATATGGAACAAAAAAACAGAGTGCAAAACCAGAACCAGAAATAAATGAGTTTTTATAGTTTTCCGATTTCAAAAACTAAAGAGCTTTAACATCCCCTAAATTCCCTTGGATTATGGAAATTTTTTTAAAAGCCTTTTCGTTTAATTCAAAGTCCTCAGAAATGGTAAACAGGTTTAAAATTTCCCATATTAAATTTTCGAATTAAAAAATATAGAATATCTTTTTCATTCTAAATTTTAATTATAACATATATATTGATCATATTTTTATAGATATAACATAAAGTTATATATATTATCCTTTAACCATATTATTAGTTTAACAACTATGCTTAAGTCATCCATTTATATTCTTTCTAAATAATATTTAATATTTTAGTCTCTAATCATTCAATTTTTTATAGTGAAAAAAACTTATGTGTTTAGAAATTAAGTGATGTGAAATTGTAGATTTCCTCTCAAAAATCTAAACTCAAATCTATTATTGTTAAAATATAATTATTTTGAATGTTGTAAATCAAATGAATATATTTTATCAACCAAATTTAAAATAAAAACTATTAATAATTTATTCATTATCTCATAACTTATAGTATACTTAAGCCTTATGAATGATTAGAGTGATAAAATTCTATTGTTCTTTTAAAATAAATATTTTATTATTAAACTTAACAAAATTTCTTGAAGATCCTTTTCGATTTATTTATGCTTTTTTGAAAAATAGAAATTAAAATGGATGCAAAAATAAAAGAAAACTATGAGAAAATAGATACAATATAAAGTTATTTTATGTATTTTATGATTTTATGCACAGAGGCATGAATTTATTATGTTTAAATTCGAATATATAAAACAAGTTTAATAATTATTTTAAAAAAATTTATTATTGAGTGAAAAGGAGGAATAAAATCATAATCTTAATTCATTTTTTTCAATTCTAAAAATTAAAGTATAAATAAAATATTCGAATAGTAGAATCAGTAAATAAATTATTAATCAAGATTCGATTAATTTCAATAATATTACAATAGTTCAAAATTCAAAATAAAATTTGAATTATAAAATTAGCACTCACCAATAAAAATGACTATTTAACATTTAGCGTCAGCATTATAAACAAAGAGTGAAATGAGCACAAAACTTGGCTTATATTCTGTCACAATCAGCAGTAAAAGTTGATGGATCTGTTAGTGAGCTTTAAAAGAAGGTTCTTATCACTATAAGATATATTTAAAAAGCAAAGTTTCCTTTACTTTAAGGAATAAATTCAAACAAGTTGATTCATAAAAATTAGATCCCTTTTTGATTATTTTTAATGATTTATTAAGGATACCATAGTTGATGCAGAATTATGGTATGTTCAAAAAGAATAAATATGTTTGAAATTGAAAGTGTTAATGTAGATTAATTGATCAATCTGAAATATAGAACACAACAAAAATAAAGACATAATCAAAATTATTGGAAAGTTAAAAATGAAATACTTTATATGTGATTAGTAACTATAAACTTTCAGTGTAAAATCTAGCAAACAATCAACTATAAGAAAAAAATATAAACAAGGCATTATTGTAATAAAATTATATATTATTTATAATTATACCAACCATTTCAGAATCTGAGTAATCTTACCCATTTAAAATTATATTTTCATATTAAACTCTAATTAAACCATTAAAATAAAAATATTTAATTAATTTTATAAATGTATAGTTAACCCATTTAAAATATAATTTTCCATTCTTTAATTTATATGTAAAGGTGCCCAAAAATATTTGATGTTAAGGATATAGTGGAACAAAGATTATCCATGTTCAAATTATTATTGAGATTTCGGATTAACCCTATAGAATATTATTTTAATAGATTACATCACCTAAAATTAAACTGGGAATTGATAATTAAACTTGACGATGTATGGAAAAATATAATATATCAATAGCAATAAAAGATTCCCTTATTTCCTTTTTTGAGAATTTTAAATAAGCTAGTTTAAAAATATTATTTGGCCAAATATTTTTTTAATAAATTATATAATTATTTATTCAGGTATGAAAAGCTTCAAATTAGAAAAGTCATGATTGCCAAACAAATTAAAATATAAAATTTTTAATCATTAATTTCTTTAATTGAATTATTAATGTATTGCGAAAAATAGATTATAACAATTTAAGGTTATTAGAGTTAAAGGTTAAAAACATATACTTAATTAAAGTTATGTGAATAATTTGAGAAGATAAACTATCTGATTTAAAGGGGGGGGGGGAAATTAAATTTTTAGACTTTTTAAAACTTGACAAAGGGTTTTTGGTAATTTATTTTAAATTTAAAAAAAAGTATTGTAAGAATGAATATTTGAATTTAAAGTACCTTTAAATATATTTTCAATTTCTTTTAAATAAAGGCCACCTTTGATTCCAAAAATGCTTAAATCTAAATAAACAGAAATAGCCTATTATACTTATTTCATTAAGTGAAACTCTTCCCTTATTTAAATTTAACCTATTCATCAAATCATATATTATGAATTAAACTATACTTATAAATATTTTAACTCCTAATCTTAAAACAAAAACTAATAGATTAACAACTAATTTAATTTTAAAAATATTATTCAATAATTCATCTAAAATTTTATAGTTTTTTCTATTTAAACTCTTAATCTTTTATTCCATTAGAATATGTACCAACATAAATTATCTACAATTAACTTTTAATATTAATCTAAGATAAATTACCTTGAAAAATATTCATGCATTTCAATCCATCTACCAAACTTTACTCCATTCTAATCATACATTCCTCCACCACTAAGGTTGAATTAAACAAAAATAAAATTACATTAATTAATTTTGCTTATTTTCACAAAAGTATTCATTCCATCTCCCTGATTTAATACCATTTTCATATTATCCTTTATAAATAACTTAAGATTTTCTATTTTTTTATTAGAATATTATATACTCCCAAAATGTTTCCGAAACTTCTGTCCATTGACCTACCTTAATTCCATTCTCATCATATGTTCCATTTCCTCTAGATATAAAGAACTAAATTTTAACATTGTTCTAATGTCATTCGTAAATAAGCAAAAATGGGTTTCCCATATTCCTACTTTAATTCCATCTTAATAGTTCCCAAAATACAATAATTAACAATACCTAATTTTATTTAATTTATATATTCAACTCCCAATATTTTTTTTCATCAATCTCAATCCATTATCCAAATTTTTATCCTTTTTCATTATAATTACCTCCACCTCTAAAAAATTATATAGTAAATTTATTACATTATTTTATGCTTAGAATTAATTTCCCATTTTCCAATTTTCATTCCGTTTTAATATATTCCTTACTACAAAATAATAGTAGGACTTAAATAAAATAATAAAATTGAAATTACAAACCTCCTATAATCCTCTACTTCTAACCACATACCTGTTTTTAATCCATTTTCATTAAAA